ATCAAAAATAACAGATCATGAAACTGCTTTGTCTATCTCTTCTAAATGGAAACACATATGTGATATGGATAACATTTAAAACAAATATAAGAATCCCCCAGAATGTACTTCCAAGGGGTACTTTTACTTGAAAAGAGCGATACTAAGTGGCTCAACAACATATTCAGATTATGCTGCAATTATTGAAGACATTTTGGGAGCACCTTTTTGGAAGAGATGCGGTGGGTGGACTCGCAGCAAAGAGAACCACCCAGCAGCAAGCGCTGCGCTAGAGCAGCGGTTTCCAACCCCTCATCTCAGGGCACACGCAGCTCATTACTAAAATTCCGCAGCACACCAAAAATATCGTACATTGTTGCTGACGTGACTAAAAACGCCCCAAAACGGTGGGATTTTGATTTATTCACAACGGATGGCTATTGTGTTGGCTGTCATCATTATTTTAATTAGCCGTATATTTTTTAAAATGTATTTTCATTGATTTCAGAGATGAAGGGAGAGATAGAAACATCACCTGTGAGAGACAGTCATTGATTGGCTGCCTCCTGCACAGCCCCTGCAGGGGCTCCAGCTTACAACCCAGGCCTGTGCCCTTGACCAGGATCAAACCTGGGGCCTTTCGGTCCGCAGGCTGATGCTTTATCCACTGAGCCACACCAGCCAGGGCTGCCATCATTTTTTTATTTGAGAGTCTAAGGGAAAACAGGTCAGTGGCCCCGAGTCAGGTATGGCATATTTAAAAAAATGCTTGCAGCTCACCATTGAAAATCGCCGCACTAGAGGATGTACGTGGAGATGTGGGCCTAACTAACTTTCTGGGCATCTGCATGTGCGTGCATGAAGTGAGAATAAAGCGTGAGGTGTGGGTCCTGGTCTGAGCTGCCTCTGCCCTGCCTCCTCAGGGAGGTGGGCGCCACGTGCTGTGGAGCTGGAGCGATGCGCCGGGGCGAGGGAGGAAGGCCCAGGGACATTCACACTTGTCACTCGCAGAGGAGGGGCTGACGCCTGCTCCGCTCGCCCCTCTGAGCCACTTTTTAGGAGCAGATAAAGCCTGAGGCTTCTACTTCCTGCCAATCTTTCCGTCCTGGGCAGCCCTGTCCTCGCTGTCGTCTGTCCCACACGCCTGTTGCATCTCCCCTGATGCTGCACCCTGTGGGCGGACCAGCGGTGTAAAGCCAGACCACCCAGGCTCCCTGAAGGGCGGCACAGTGGGTGCGCCATGTGTGCTGAATGAATCAACGCAGGAATAGGCCACCTGCTGAATCTTTCCAACTGAGAGATGTCTTTGTAAACATTAGTGATGTTACAGCCATCCTATACTGAGACTGAATGTGTTCTCCCAAATGTCATATGTAGAAGCCCAAACCCCAGTGCATTTGGCAGTGGGGCCGCTAAAGAAGTAACTTAGGGTCAATGAGGTCATAGGGTGGGGCCTCAATCCCAGAGGACTGATGCCTGAGGAGCCTGCTCTGCCCACAGGCCCGGGAAAGGCCATGGCACAGGGAGGCAGTGGCACCAAAGGGAGGTCCTCCCACACACCAGGCCAGCCGGCACCTGGCTCTGGGACCCCCAGCCTCCAGAGCCCACTGAAGCAGCGTCCGCTGTGTGAGCCCGAGTCTGGGTTTGCTGCAGTGGCCTGAGCAGGCGGATGCACACACAGAACAGCAGACCATTAGCTTTCCTCTTTCATGTCTAGTTGCCACAGAGCCTCAGAAGGAGGGGCTGCTGGCATGTCAACAGGAGTCGCTCTGCCTTCAAGAAAAACCTTTCTCCTGTAATGGTTTCTTTGCTAACGAGATACACACCACCGTCACAGGAACACATGCCTTCCCCAGCCCTGCTTACGTCTACATTCCACACGGAAGAGGCCATTGTGCTGGCACAGCTAACAAAACACACGTCTACAGGGTTTAACAAGAGGCTGGTCTCCCGGACTGTCGTTCCTCCATCGCCGGTCACACCTGTGCCAGGTGGCTTCCACAGAGCCCCGGCCAACACCGAGATCAAAGCAAGAGCGGGGAGGCTCACAGCAGCGTGCCTGCCTTCCTACCGGAGAAGCAAGCCATTCCAGAACCTTCCTGCAGACCTCCTTTGTCTCATTGGCCATGGGGACCTCACAGGCTCAACTCTGGTTGCGAGAAAAGTAGTCAACCTTGAACAACACATGGGTCCACTTACACGCCAGATTTTGCAAATAGTGGGCCCTTCCTAGCCATGTGTTTCGTATCTGCAGATTCAACTAACTGCGGTTGAAAACTGTGTTTTCTGCCCAACCTTGCGAATCTGGTTACAAATGCGAAAACACTCTTCTCGGTTGTTTGAATCCGTGCACGGGAAGGGCTGGCTGCAGACTCCAGCGCTATACGTGCTTCTGACAGACTGGGTTCATGTCCCTGCGCCACACGGTTCCAGGGCCAGCTGTCCTTAGTTCCTCCCCTTCCCCTTTCAGGGCGACGGAAACCTCTGTTGGGTTGGTTCGTCCTCGAGTGGTGTTTGCTGTGTAGGATCTGGAGGCCGGGCCAGCAGGTGAGCGAATTCTAGAGGCTCCCCCAGTTATGGCCGTGGTCACCCCAGGTGTGCTTACATTCCATACTTGAGCAAAGGACTCGAGCCCCCATGTACAGGTAGCACTGATAGCTCTTAGATTGCAGTTAGCGAGGCTGCACTTCACCTGAGGGACAGTCACACCTGTCCTCCCTGTCACAGTAGAGCCCCTAATACATGGGCTCACCGCCTAATACGTGGGCTGTCCTGTTTGGTGGTTTGCCGTGTGTGGGGACGGCAGTCCTTCTGTCAGTTCGCCAGTGGCAGTGGGGTCTGCTCTACGTGAGGCTGCAGTTAGAAGCATCACGTTCATCCGTACTGTGCCCTGGCCAAGAGCCTGCCGGGCACCCGAGCCAGCACTGCCAAGTCTGCGTTCTGCAGGCCGCGCTGAAAGGCGCCTCAAGCAGCCATCAGCTGGGCGGGTATTGGCATCGGGGTGGTGCCGTGTGTGCCAGGACAGGCTGTGACAAGTTCCTACCTCACGTCGTCTGAAACACTCAAATCTGGGCTTTGTCAGAACACAAATGCGCACGTTGTAGCAGAGCTTACCCAGGGAGGAGACTGGAGGTAAGAAAATAAGGTAGAAAAATGCAGTCCTGTCTGCGCACAAGGCCGACTCATGAGGCTTCGGGTAACAAGCCGGTGTGGCTCAGAACCGCCCCAGAGCCCCAGGAGGGAGGGGACAGCCACAGTCCCAAGATTAAAAAGAAGAACTGTCCATTGCTCAAGGTTTAAGCAGAGCTGAGACAAGGACTTTCCCAGGCAACACAGCCTTAGCCTCTAGGCCATGCCCTGGAGGCGCAGCTCGATGCCAGCCTTGCCAGGGGAAGCCACTGCGTGCGGGGCAGGCGGGGACGCAGACAGGCAGCTGCGTGGTCAGTCACTTGTGACGCTCTGTGAAAAGCTCCTGAGAAAAGTTAATTTTGACTATTTCCTACTCGTCTCCGAATCCCTCTATTTTTCTAGGTTACAAAGTCCAAATCCTCCCTAGACTAAGGCCACTGTTCACTACACTGCAGACAGCTGAGGCAGATTATGAAGATGGTTTATCTGAGGAACGTGGCTCGCTAGATAAATGTGCTTAACATGGCGGATGTCAGCATGGCAGACGCATGAGTTTAAAATGCTGTTTCATGGTGGTACTACTATAGTCAGGTGACTTTTTCAAAGGTTAAAAGATTACCCACGGAAGTTTTGTTTCAGTTTTGTTCAGTCTTTTATTAATGTTGGGGGCATCCCCCACCTTTTCAGAAAGACTTGCTATAAACTGGAAAACGCATTCCCACCGTGGGAAGCATCTGCTGGCTACCATCAAGTTCACACGATGGGCAGGGGAAGAGGACGTGGAGGCCGAGGGGAGGGTATCAACATCGGACACGGCTTCTGTTGCACTGAGAAATAATTTATTAAACACACATAACACTGGGAATCAAATGCAATATAAAAGTAAAAAAGTAAATTCTATAAAGTGATAGTGGCTGACCTAATTCATAAGAGCTTTTCTTCACTCACCCCAACTTTAATAACATCCTCCGAAAGGCCGGATTGTGGAAGTGTGTGGTTCACTTTAAACAGATGTGTAGTGTTATAGTATCTGGAATTTAGTGTAGCTCATTGTTTCGTTAGACTAAAAAATCATATTAATTTAGATGACTGCTCTTTTTAAACCCTTTTTAAGCCTGGGAAAATGAGAGACGAGTGGAGCAGGTGTCGGTCCTCTGCCCCAGGACAGAGCACATCTCTGGCACCGTCTGTGGAAAGCAGTCTGGGACAGAGCACCCCGGCGGCATTTTGACACAGACTTTTAAAATGTGTGGAACTTTGTTAAAACCGTCTCCTTTTCAGATCAAAGGCCAGCAGCAGCCACTGGATGTGTTCATCTGCGCGAGTGGAATTTTAAATAACCCGTCTTAGCACAGTCATCGAGACACGGGAGCTTCCAGCCGTGAACAGAACTGGGGCTGGCTACTCCACTTCCCAGCAAGTTCCCCTCAGTTTCCAGAAAGTACATGGCGTCCAATATACCAACTGGGATCTCAAAATGCTGCATGAGTACGAAGCTTATTAACAGCAATATGCAAAACAGTAGAAATCAAGTGAGTAACTTATTATAAAAATGAAACAAGGCACTTTTGACAACTGTCCGCGAAGCTGAAATGAACACTTTTTCCTAAAGCTGACTCACAGACCCCAGGAGACTTGTAAAAAGTGCAGGCCCTGACTCTACTCACTAAAGAAATTCACCAATTCAACTTGGCACGAAAGAGTTTAATTACCATAAAGTGCATCACTTGGCTAAATATATTAAAAAGAAAATCGGCCAAGGATAGATTATAGTAACATATTTACACAAATGGGAATAAAAAGGCAATGCCAGGAGCCAACATAGTTAGGAACTTTGTAATATATATATGTATCTTTTTTTTTCTTATAACTCCTTATTTACTCAGAATCTGTATTTTCAAACGAGTATGCCTTGATTAGCAAAAAGAGGTAGTGTTCTGAAAGAGGCAAACTCCTGATTCTACAGGTAAAGATTTAAGATGAAGATTATGTGGAAAATAAACAAGTATAACGATAACCTGGGATGCTTAGTATAGCATTTTGATATTAATGAATTATAGGCTATTTAAAATAAAGGCTATTTTATGTAATTACAGCTCTTTCAAATAATTTTCCTTTGGTACCAGAAAGTTTCCTACTTTTAAACAGCAGTTAACATTCTAAATAAGCAATTTCTATTTGGAGATGGTAAACATGTCAATATTTAAAACAATTCTTTACCACTGACTTACACTGTCAGTGACACAGTATCATGTCAGAGACACAAAGGAGTATATGATAGCAACATGCAGTTCATGTCCATCTGACCAACATAACTGGCAATTTAAACACAGATTAGTTTGGAGCAATATATTGGCAAAACACCAAAATAATTTATGCACACTATAAATACAAAGACTGAATAAAAGACCATTTAAAGCATCAGGGAATATATTTCCTATCCCGATAACTTCTCTTTATGTAAACTTTACACACATGCATTCTTGCTGTTTTCTGTAAATGCTTCAGTCTTTTTATTTTTCAACGTCGGCCACTCTGCCGGGAAGCTGCTGAGCTGCAGACACAGAGGGAACGCCACGTGGTTCAGTCCTCAGCATCGTAGGCCACTTCCGCCACTTCCACCTCCGCCGCGCAGGCTTCGGGCTCGCTGAGACGGCGGCGCGGCTTGTCAGCAGCTCTGAGAAGAAAGAGACGCGTCAGTGTCAAGGCTGGTGAATGCTATCACCTTTAAAAATGGAGGAGCACTGGAATATTAATCAGAAATGTAACATTTTTCACGTGTCACTGCCAGAGAACTTTCTGAGCTATATTTTAATTCCTCAGCTCTCCCAACAATCACTTATCAAAAATCTAGTTTGTAATTACCCTACACACAAATTTGTTGTCATAATTATAGCTTAATCATTATCACTGAAGTATTAATAATTAACTTGGACTTATATGCAATAAAAATTCTATGGGCTTTAAAAAATATGATTTTTTGTCATTCT